AGTTTTTAAAAATAAAGCCTTTAAAGAGACAGTAAAGATAGTGTAAAAAATAAGCCACGTAAAGATGGATATCACACAGAGAATCTGCATTGTGTTGTCTTTGGGATTATTAACTGCAGAAACACATTTGATTGTAAAAGCTGTTGAGTTATGCCAATATGAATATTTTAAAGGTACCTTGACTTCAAAATTTGGATGTAAGGATATGTTGCTTTGGAAAGGAGGCTCTGCTTGTTTCCACAGAAAGCCAGAGGCTATGGATTTGTTCCAGATTAAGATACATCAGATTTGACCAGCCAAGACCCCTGGGAAGGTCTCTGATTTCACCAAGGTCCAGATGATCTAGCATCCAGAATGGTTTCAAGGCAACTGGCTCAGAAAATACACCCTCATGGACTACTTCATCACCCTTAATTTTTCTTTGTGTCCCCATAAGATACAGTGCCCCCATCCAGCAGGAAGTAGTATGAGAAGCTATGCCCAAATTCTCAAATATACCTAGCTGGCTTTGGAGATGGAATTGGCTCACTCCTTCTCTAAACCCAAGCATATTGCAAAAAAAAAAAAAAAAAGATTGAAAGATTCTTGTGTCCAATATCAGAAGAGCCCTCTGGTGTCAGACTAAGAAAAATGAATATTTTTATTTAAAACAGGTTGGTTATAAATGCAATCTCTTTCTAATGAAAAAAGGAGATAGTATAGATATAATAGGATAAAAGGATAGATTAATGAACCTACTTTTAAAGAGCAACAACTTGTTTGAAATGTTTTACATTGCTATGGATTTTAGTTTATTTATACAAATTTAAAGTTAATTTTGTTATACTGTATATATATTTCTACTCTTGTTTGAGGTATTATGTTTATGTAACTCACTTAGATTGTAATGGATAATTAAGAAATACAGATTAATAATTAGTCTTCTATGATAGTCAAACTTGTAGCATGTTAGTTAAATTTTCTAGGTATACATAGATATATTTCATATAGATAGGGAATCTTCAAATACTTCAAAGACCTACAGAATATGCCATTTAAAATGTTTTAAAAATTTAGACTTTCTGGACAATGAGACATGTCTGCTCCTGGCAGCACTGATTTACTTCAAAGAGGAGGATGGGCATTGAAGACACTCCATATGGAGTTTATCTTCACCTTGGCAAAAATAGCCATTTGGGCAAGAAACTGTTCTTGCCTGGACTGCTTGAAAAAAATGTATCACTGGACATGCAGGACCCATAGGAAGGTGACCACTGAACTTTGCTTGGCAAAATGGTCCTTTAGGTTTCTGCTTCACAGAGGAAACTGCCAGGCATTCTACAGGACACAGAGAGAAGGACTGAGAGACTCTAAGCCTGTGGGCTGAAGACAGATGCCCCAACATTACAAAGGAACATTAGGTGACTGTCCAGGCTGCCTGCTGTCTCTGTCTACTCTCACAAGACTTCCAAAAGTTGCTTGTGTCTTTCTCCTATTTCTAAGGTAATATTATATCCTTCTGAGGCCTTTGATGTAGTTGAAGACTAGATAGTTATAATTTTCCTTAGTTATGATAAAAGATAAGTTAGATATGAAGCCTCAGACTCACAAATATAGGATAGATAGGATATCGTCTTTAATTTTGACAAATATAGATATTATAAATAGACTAGATATTGTAACTGTAATTCTTGCTTGATAATTGTTTTGTAATGTGTAATTTTACTATGTGAAAGTTAAAACCTTCCTTTTTGAAAAAAAAAAAGAAAAGGGGAAGTGCTGTGGATATCACTCTTTATAAATAAAATGCTGATTGGCCAGTGGCCAGGCAGGAAATATAGGCGGGACAAGCAGAGAAGAGAATTCTGGGAACAGGAAGACTGAGTCACGAGACACTACCAGCCACTGCCATGAGTACCAAAATGTAAGATACGGGTAAGCCATTAGCCATGTGTGGCAAGGTATAGATTTATAGAAATGGGTTAATTTAAGATAGAAGAACTAGATAACAAGAAGCTCGCCACAGCCACACAGTTTGCAAGCAATATGTCTCTGTGTGTTTACTCGGTTGGGTCTGAGTGGCTGCTGGACTGGCAGGTGAGAGAGATTTCTCCTTACGGTGGGCCAGGCAGGACTGTAGAAAACTTCAGCCACACTTCATATGTAGTCAGACTTCACTTTTGGCTGCTGGCTCACAAATAACAACATAGAGACTCATTGTTAATTAGGGATGTTCAGCCTTGGCTTTGGCCTGTCTGACTAGCTCTTATAATCTAGTCAGTTTCTAGTAATCTATGTTTTACCATGTGGCTTTTTACCTTGATTTCATTCTGTATGTCTGACATACTCCATGTCTCAGTTGTGTCCTCCTGGTGTAATTCATGCATAGATTCTCCCTCCTCTTTCCCTCTACTCCAGAAATCTTGCCCATCTCTCCTTCCTTGCTATTGACCATTCAACTCTTTATTAAACCAATCAGAATGATGCATCTTCACACAGTGCAGACAAATAATCAACAACAGCACTGACATCTCCAAAATGCTGGGGTCCCTTGATGCACCCAGACTGCATTTTCTTCTATAGCCTCTCCTGGGATCTTCTCAGTTTTTCTGTGATTCCTTCAGTCTTGGGGTTTTGACTGCTACTGAAGCCGCACTCTCACCAGTAGCCTAACCTGTCCTCTCACAGTGCTCACAGTGCCAAGTTTCAGCTGGCATGACCCCTTCATGCCACCAAAACCACACCACCTGGAAGACTCTCACAGTACCAAGTTCAGCTGCCAGTACAAGGTACTGCTCCGGCCCCAGCGGACAAGCATCCCTTGTCCCAGCAAAGCCAAGTTCTGCTTTACTTCCTCTGTTCTCTTGTTAATCATAGCTGATTCTTCATCTTCAGCTGGCCAGACACCACAGATTTTTCACACACATGCCTTGGTAGAGTCTTTGCTTCCCTCTGAAACTTTATAAGCCACGTGTCCATTGTCTGCACTGACTTGACATTCTTCCCTTTCAAGTTCTTACAGGACAGCTCATAGAGCTTTGAATCCTCAGTGATTTTCTAGCTCAAAGTTTCAAAGTTCCTTCATCATAATCTTCCCCCAAACACATCATGAGGGTTGTGACAGCAACATCTTACATTCCTGTACCATTTTCTGTCCTAGTTAGGGTTACTATTGCTGTGATGGAACACCGTGACCAAAGGCAAGTTGGAGATAAAAAGTTTATTTGGTTTATGCTTCCACAACTTAGTCTATCATTGAAGGAATTCAGGGCAGGACTTCAAGCAGGAATTGAAACAGAGGCCATGGAAGGGTGCTACTTATTTGCTTGCTCCCCATGGATTGCATAGTCAAACCTCTTATAGAACCCAGGACAACCATCCCAGTGATGGCCCCACTGACAATAGACTGGGCTCAACTACATCAATCATTAAATAAGTAAATGCCCCATACACCTGCCTACAGCCCAGTCTTATGGAGGCATTTTCTCAACTGAGGCTCCCTCACTCTGATACCTTTATCTCATGTGAAGTTGACATATAACTAGCCATCACACCCTCAGAGGTGACATGTGGTCAGATTGAGGTTGCAACTGTCCTGTGTATTTCTTGGTATCATCTGCCAAACCACATGCACAGTTTAGCTCTGGAGTGTACTGGGCTTCAGAACCGTGGTCCAGGAGGGTTCTTCTCATAGAATGCCCAGAAAGGAGTTGTGTTTTGTGAGTCAGAGTGGAGAGCCCAGGTCTGACACCCTGAAGGGTACTTTCAGGCTCAGTGTTGTATCTTGGGTAGGACCCGCTATAGCTTTTGGCCATGGTGTCTTCTAACCCACCCCAGGATATAGTCTCAAAACCTGGCCAGATTTGATGTTCAGATTATCATAAAGAAAACACATCTATTTTCTAACACGAATTTTCCTTTAGACCCATTCCCAATATGAGAGCACTGACTTGCTGTCGACACATCAACAGTATCCTGCACATAGACCTCTCCGGTCATGATTCAGGAAAGGATTCTGTGATCCTTACAGCTAAGCCTTCATGGCCTTGTGACAAGACCCTCAGCTGTGAGAGGGCTGCCCTGTGTACTCCCGCAGATCCTCTCCCACTAAACCCTGCTCAAACTCTGACTTTTTTTTGCCACCAGCTTCCCTTTGCTTGATGCCTCTCAAGGTCTGCCTGAGCTCTGTGCTTGAGACATCCATGTTCTATCTCGATCATACCAAGGGTGCACTCTGATGAAAACTAACCATGCTATATGTTCTTCCAGTTTCCAATTATACTGCCAAGAGCCACTTCTTTGTGTAAAACAAGAAAAATTCCCTCAAGGGGATAAGAGACACTTTCTACCAGAATAACCACAGATCTAGGTCACCCATAATTTTATGTGGCAGCAGTTTTATGAACTTTTTATAGTAAAAAACAAAACAGGGGAAATCATAGTCAATGATCTTTAAAAGACATTGGTGGAGACATCAAGGTGCTGGGTTATAGCAAGGGTGGGAAATCTTCGCTCTAGGCCTTAGATTCCATCTGATAAAATTCTTAGCTTTTGGGTTTGGGGAATCTAGAGGTTCTATTCATACATTCTAAGGACTTATCTAATAGTCATAAGGATGTTGGGTCACATGCAAACATAGGTAATAAATTGTTCCTAACAGGGCTGAAGATGGCCCAAGACAATGTATCTCTGGATCTGTGGCATTCCAGCATCTCACATCACTGAAGATCTATTCAGTCAATTAGCTTATGTGGGTGAATGTCTTTCTGCGAACTTCCATTCACACATGCCATGGTTTCTGCGTGATTTTGTCCCCTGGCCCAGCTGTTTGCCTGTGTCTTTGATTTGATGAGTCTGTTCTCCACCTTCAGGTAGATGCTATGTGGTATGTTTACATGAAAAAGCCCAGTCCTCAAAGGATATAACTTAAATTGGCAGATAAGTAAGCAAGAGAACATGCAAGCTTAGTTCAAATTTCTTTTAATTCATAAGATACAAACAAATATAACACACTGGATTATTTTAAATTTATCAAGAAAGAAGGAAATATCAGCATTATACAAACAGTGTCACCAGGTTATTGAAGCCATGTGTGAAAAAGGACATTTGCCAATGACAATGTAACACTTGATAATACTGTGCATCTGAACCTATTTTGTAAAAGAGAAAACATGACAAAGTTTGCTGTGTTCAGGTTTTCATAGCTTCAAGGAAAAAAAGAAGAATAAATTACAGCAGGAATTTAACAAAGAACAGAAGCATCCAATAAAGAGATGGCAATGGCTGTATATAGGTATAGAGACGCATTTCTGATGGAGAGCATTTGCTTATGAGTCAGAAAGATTTGTATGGTAAATTAATGTCCACCTAAAGGATTGTTACAAGATCATGCAGAAGTTCCCGTATGTTATGAGGTTTGTGACAGTTAATTTAAAATGGTATGGGTTAATGAAAAGCTTACTTAATTACATTCATGGTTGTCATTTCTTCTGTGTTTGGCAGGATGTTAACTTTTCAACAATGGGCTCTTATCAGAGTCAAGATTGATTTAATATCTGTCTTTGTCAATATTTATTTATCAGAAGTGTCTAATCTTTGGTAGTATGACACAAAGTGATCTGTATAATTCATGCCTGAGAATCTATATAATTCTGCATACAACCTAGTAACCTAAAAATCTTTGCAAAACTATAACATAATATTTTAATGAAGTCGCTGAATTTGATTTGACCACATTCATGGGTATCCTGCTTGGGCTGTGAGTTGGTCATCCCTGAAAGTTACATAACAGATTAAAACCACTATCTGTTTCTCAAGTCTGGCGTAACTGACTTTCTGAGTTTTCAGTAACCACCACTAGAAGCCTAAAGCAATGAGGATCAGGGGCTAGGCTGATAGTAAACAATGTTCATCTTCACCTCCAGCTTGGCCATGTCCCAAGGTGGAGAACATTGGGACAGCTCTAAAAGGGTCTCATAGTGTCAGAGAGGCTATGGAGATTCTGGGGTTTGAGGTTTGGGTCATTTCACAGAAAAATACCCTTTGTTCAGAAGAGTATAATGAATGGAGACAAGGGGCTCCTAAAACTCTCCAACACCCTTAAAAGTATCTCCTAAAGAGATATAGCTGCCAACAACAAAGAGAAGCTATTGGCCATCTTCATGCTCTTAAACACATGACAAAAAAGTACAACTAAGAATACTAAAAAATTAAAAATCTACCAGCTGCAACCAGGTTTCTCATCATGACTTGGGTCAACTGGGAGAACTGAAGTTCCTAACGCCCTCTAAATTCTAATTAATTGTCATTTATGATCTGAATTATTCCCAACTCTACATCTATCAACCTTTGTGATGCCTTCACACTAGGGTTTTCCTTAACACTGCTGATTCGCTAGATGCAGAGACCTTTGTGTCTCTGTATATCATTGGGACAGATGATAAAGGCTGTCACTGAATACTAGGATAAGGACAGCTCCACCTCTGACTCCAAGTTTTCAGGCTTAGCTCCAGTTATTAAAGAGGTGATTAAGTTTATCTTAAATTTCTTCCACAGGATGCAAGGCCATGGGAGATGTCTGGACCAGCTCCTATCAGGTCTTTCTCTTCCCTCCAACTATAGTTATGAGGCCTGTCTCTGTGGGTTGATTTGATGAGAGGTAATAGCATTCCTCTTGCAGAGGCTCAAACAGCTCATTTCTGGGAGCCTCTTGGAGATTTTTGTTAATTCTTCTATGTTTGATGAAGTATACACAGTCAAGCAAATCCATACTCAAAAAGGTCCTCCCTTGAAAATAAAATCAAAATACGCTATTTTAATTGCCAGACTTAAATGCTTGAAGTCTGACTTAGTTTCTCTTGATCGCTCATACAATTAGAGGGTGAATCCTACTCAACCTGGCACCTTAGGCCAGTGGTTGAGCCATGGTGCTATGAAACGTATCTAAGAGGGTGTGAGCTGTTCCCCTCTCGTCTATTCAAATACGAACATAAAAATGGCCCAGAAGACAAGGCCAGGTAATATCTCGTAACTAGTATTTAAAACCCCCATTCCCTCTCAGGAGTATTGCCTCTTTAGAATTCACTAGCTGTGTTTTGGTCAACTGTGTCTATCTTTCTCGCGTGCATATATACACATGTGTGTATGTTCGTTCATATACTTGTACCTATGGAGACTAAGCATTCACTTTGGGTATCATTCCTCAGGAAGCCATAAACACTGTGTTTAGAGCCAGCCTATACTAGAACTCACCAATTCATCTAGTCTGGCTGATGAGGAAGCCCAGGGATGCACTTCTCTCTCTCTCTGTCCCTTACACTGGGATTATAAGTGTGTGTCACCATAGTGTACGTGGATTCTGGAGAGTACACTCAGGTCCTCATGCTTGTGAGGGGCAAGCACTCTATGACTGAGCTATCTCTTGGTCGCTCATTAAACATTTTTGGTCTGCTGAATGTAACATTTCTATGGCTATGCCACGGTCCCCTGAAGTTCCTGGCATGACAGCGCCCTCCAGGACTGTTACTCTCACGTGTTCCTAACCTTAGTTCTCTGGTACTGTGGACCCCTAGAGGCAGCACTGCTTTAGGGTTTATTCCTTCCGTAGTCTGCTACTCAACTTTCTTACCTGAGTTTTCTTTCGTACAGTATAAATTCTTAGTATACTATAATTCTATATCCATAACCGTTGATGTGTGATCTGAGGTTTGCTCACTTCTTTTTTTCTGTTTTACTGTTTATTTTTGCTAGCCCACTCCTCATGAGAGGCTGCATGGGTGCCTTCCCTGTCGCTAACACCTTGCTCTGGTGTCATCCTGAATTGTGGAGGATTGCACTATGGTGATGGACAGGCACTTGGTCAATGGAGCAAGCTTAGTCTCTGTTGACCAGTGTTTGGTAGGGATGCTGAATTTTATTTATAGCAACAGAAGTTTCATGATTTTTTAAAAAATATCTATTTCCAATTTTTTTGCCAATGGACTGCTTACTCACTGGATCCCTATATTATGAGTGAAATCCTGAAAGAGTGAGCTATGCCTACAGAACAGTTGCTCACATGTATCTTAATTTTCAAGATCCATCAATTTCACTGGCTGTAATTGCCAATTCCTTTTGATAACTGGTCTCTGGCCAATATGGGCTCTTTTACTTTAGTCTTAATCACTAACATAAACTCTGAGATCACACATTATACACCACACAAAAGCATATATATCTATATTACAGAATGGCTTCAGAAGAGTGTGGTGGTGGCTCATGCCTTTAATCCCAGCACTCCAGAGGCATAGTCAGATGGATCTCTGTGAGTTCGAGGCCAGCCTGGGCTACAGAGTGAGTTCCAGGAAAGGCACAGAGTTACACAGAGAAACCCTGTCTCGGAAAAAAAAATGAGTGAAAGAGATGCCAGCAGAGATTACAGAGACCAGACTGGAGGCAGAGACAGAGTGGTCATAGACACACGGAGAGACTCAATGCAGGGGGTTAGATGGGCTGGTAAGGAAGCTGGTGGAGAGCTGCAGGGTTGCAAGTTGCACTGGGCCTCAGGATTCTGTGGAAGTGCTGAGGTGAGGTGCAGGACCACAGGATCCAGCAGGTGAGATGCAAGAGCACATTACGATGGACCAGCAGATGAAGTGTTGGAAAGCAATTCAAGTAGAAGGCCTTAGCAGTGGGGATGGAGCTGAAGCTTTGAAGATGGCCAGGAGTTCTCTGCCTGCTGGTTCCTTGACACTCTAACAACCAGGTGACAGGCTGGGGGGTCCTGACTGTTGCAGTATTAGGTGTCCTCTTCAGGGGTCCAGGTGAGGGCATCAGATAAGTTCTCAGGCCTGGTCCTCTGATAGTGTTTTGATAGGCACATGGACTCACTGATTCCTATTTTGATAAGTGTATAGGAGACACATTTTTACTTTCAGGATTAAGTTAATCATCAGCCTGTGCTTTAAGGATAATCCTGGACAGGCATGAGTGTATGGGCAAAGTGAGGTGTCATGGCATCCAACCTCTGCATTGCACTCAGAATGGAGCCAACTGCTGCATGTAAAATGGAGTCACCCAGGGCAAGCCACTGTTCTGCACAGTGAGGAGTAGTTTGGAGCCCCACCCAGCCTGCTCTCCACAAAGCTATCTTCTAAGAATGAGACAGGAAAATGCACCTATCAAGAAGAAGCCCCTGATGGCAACAGCCTGTCACACTTAGATGCCCTGGTGAGCAAGGCCCCAAGAACTGTCACTTTCAGTGTTACCAGTTTGGTCAGAAGTCAGTGGCACAGGTTTCCAAGAGATATGTTTGTTGGCTTTGCTGAAGAAGGCACATGCAATGTTCAACAGTCACTGGACGCAGCTGATGATGAGGGCTGGAGGTCAGACTTCAGAGGAAGAGGAGTAGCAGGGAGCACCTATTGACAAACAGGGGTGTGGATTACAGTGGGCTCCTGTGTACCCAGTTACAGCATCCCACACTTCTTCATTTCTCTGACACTCCCCCACCTCACAGACCACAGAACTCAGTCACAGGACCCTTCTCTATTTCATTTGTTCCTACTCTAAGTTCTGGTATGATAAGACTTCAGATGTTTCTGGAGTTGTACGGCATCGAATCAGAGATTGTGAATAAAAAAATCTGTGAACAACAACAACAACAAAACCCAGAAAATATGAAAGACCAGCAAAATATACCTGTATTTCTGTCTCTTCTCACCTTTTAACTTTACTTTCATTTTTTTTGTTTGTTTGTTTTTGTTTTGGGAGACAGGGCTTTGCTTCATAGCCCAAGTTGGCTTTTAGCTTACTATATAACCTACGACAGGCTTGAACTTTTGCAGCAATCCTCCTGCCTCAGCTCTCCACATACTGCAACTGTCGCTCTGACCAAATATACAGGTGGATTTAAAGTTTTTTATGCAATAAGAGTTATTCCAAAATAATTACACTGACTTAAAAATCTAACATATTAGCCGGGCAATGGTAGCACACACACTTTTAATCCCAGCACTTGGGAGGCAGGCGGATCTCTGAGTTCGAGGCCAGCCTGGGCTACAAAGTAAGTTCCAGGAAAGGCACAAAGTTACACAGAGAACCCCTGTCTTGAAAAACAAACAAACAAACAAAAATCTAACATGTTAACTGGTATTAGCTATGAATCTTTTTTTTTTTTTTTTACCACCCCATGCTTACAGGGAAATTTGTTAGATCATATTGAAATAGTTATGACATTGGCAATCTTCATCACAGTCCTGTAGTTTTTTAAAGATTTATTTATTTATTTATTTATTACATATACAGTATTTGCCTGCATGTATAACTGAACGGCACAAATGGGCACCAGATCTCATTACAGATGGTTGTGAGCTACCATGTGGGTGCTGGGAATTGAACTCAGGACCTCTGGAAGAGCAGCCAGGGCTCTTAACTTCTGAGCCATCTTTCCAGCCCCAAGGAAAAAGAATGGAAAATACCTTCTTTGTGTTTATATTGATTCCATGTTAAGGTCGCATTTAAGAGATAGTTGTTTAAATAAAACATATTGCTAATTTTAAAAAAAGCAAGAAATATACGTTGCTGTAAGTCTTAAAATGGCCACTGTCAGACATGAGTCCCGGTGTTCAAAAGACTAAATTTTTTAATTATTTATGTTTTTATTTTCTGTGCATGTGTGTGCTCCTGAGTGCATATCCATGCAACACATGTGTACAGGAACACGTAGATGCCATAAGATGGCATCTGATCCCCTGGAACTGGAGTTACATGAGGTTGTGAGTTGCCATGTAGGTGCTGGGAATTGAACCTGGCTCCTCTGCAAGAGCAGTAAGTGTTCCTAACAGATGAGCCATTACTCCAGCCTCCAAAGACACAATTCTGAGAAGCTTTTATGTGCATTCTCCCTTATGTACCCATTCACCTTACTCAGATGTCCACGTCTTTAGGTAAAGAAAACTGAATGTTAAACACCCGTGGACAAAATTGATAAACCGCTTTGAGAAATGACTTTATTAAGCACCCTGCTGTGCCATAACACACCACAACTTGTGTCCACTCCTTGTCCTGGGGTCAGGGAGATGGCTCTGGGCCTAAAGAGCTTATGGTATAAACAAGATGACCTGAGCTGAATCTCTGAAAGAACTGACTCCACAAATCCTTGTTCTTCTGCAGTGACATGAATAGGTTCAAAACATGAGAACTTTATTAGAGCAATTGCAATGCCCAAGGCACATACTGGGGAAGGATTTCACGCATCTATGTGCGTCACTTTGTGAGTCTAAGATGTGACGGGCCTCATCGGGTGCCTGCCTGTTCCTCACCTCCTGTTGTGTTTAACATTTTCACAGTGATGGGGACACCAATAATGACTAGGTTAATGACTCTTCAGATGATAAATCTTTTTTCTCATATGGAATCTGAGTGTTTGCTAGAAAGTGTGTAGCCTCCTGAGGTTGTGGTTCTGATTTTGGGGGCAATACTTTTCTATTTCGGTCTATAGTTATATCTCATTGCATCTTTTCTGCTGGGCATGTGCCTGGCATACACTACTCTCCATGCTAATCCACATGTCCCCTCAAGATGTTGCTTGTGTCTTGGTATTTAGTGAGTTAGCACCATCAGCTTGTGGTTCCTGCGTGTCAGTATCAACTGTATACGAAAGAGTTTGACCACAGAGACTAATCCACTAAACCACCATGAATATATTCCTAGCTCACTTTCCCTTTAAATAAAAATCTCAGCACCCACTCAACTGCATATTGTAGGGAAGGAAGTGAGACAGAAAGAGTAACATAGGGAGTCCTAATGGACTGTGTGAAAATAACTACAAATCTTTCTGGAGAGAGCACAAGGCAAGTGTCATGGTGGTACATGCAGGAGAGGCATTCAGGAGCTTGTTTAGTTCAGTTCCTGGTGTCTGAGCACAATATAGTATGTTGTACTGGCAGCTAGACTATAAAAAGATGAGTGTTGGGGGATGGGAAGATGGCTTAGTGGGTAAGGCCCTTGCTATGTAAGAATGAAGACCGGAATTCACATCCCTGATTTACAGTGGGACACCTGTTCCAAGTCCTCAGCAGACTAACTCTACCAAGAACCAGAGTGAGACCCCAGCCTGCTCCTTACCTTCTTGGGGACAAGTTTTGGGGACAAGTTTCATAAGTATCCCACCAATTAAAGGCACGGAGATGGCAATGACTGCTGCCATGTAGATAATTACTTTCTCATGCTGAGACATGATGTAAAGTGTTCTCTGGGTAGTATTTATGTTGGGTAGAATCTGTGTGGTATCCATGGTGGGTGGAAGCTGGGTGGTAGATTGAAACTGCGTGATATCTGGGGCCCTTGATGTTGATCCTTAAAAAAAAAATGAGGAAAATAAAGTGAACAACACATCCTCATCAGCACCTTCTCTCCCTAGGCAGACTAAAGGACTCATGTGTAGTAACTATTTTACAGTTCCTGAGTAGAGAAAGGAGGAGAGTTGTGTGTAAGATATCCTTGCAGAGTTTATTTCATTACCAAAGAAGCAAATGTCTATCAAACCATCAAACAATGTGACATATTTACTGTGGGTAGAACTTTCTGGATGTTGGGGCAATTTGTGGTGTTCAATTGTATCAAAGATAGTGAAACCTTCCAAAGTGATGTTAGTGCTGGTACAAGGGCAGCTATAAGTGAAGCAGAAAAGGCTGGAAGTTTACAGTGATTCAGACAGACTTGGCCCTATTAGCAGGCCATGGAGTGCCTGGGCCATTGGTTAGTAGGGATTGGGAAACATTGGGAGGTAAGATGGGGAAGACAGAGCCTTGTGGTCATCACTGCCTACCCAAGCATGAAGACCACCAAGAAATTACTCATCCAGTCTATCAAATTTTCTATTATACACACATGCTGATTTCTACATAGGGAAGTCACCAGACATTTCAAAGGAACCGCCATGCCTTTCCCACCCTGTGGAGGTTTCCCTGTGATAATCCACCTAAGTACTTACTTGACATTTCCTTCCAGTACTTTAAGAATTGCTTCAAGCAGTGACCAAAATCCCCCATGGAGAAAGTTACTAGATCTTGTGCTAGTTCTTTGTTCATCTTCCATTTCTCCTTGACACATATGTCTTTATCATGAATCACTCTCCATTCCTTGTTCTTTGGATTAAAGTATAAGAAACACTGTTCACCAATTGTGAAGTTCCAGGAGGCATCAGTGAGTTGTCCTTGTTTATAATGAGATTCCACGGTGCCCTGCAAGGTTTGATGATCTGCAAATGACACACAAAACCATCATTTTAGCTGGGCCATAGTAGTGCATGCCTTTAATCCCAGCACTCAGGAGGCAGAGCCAAGCAGATCTCTATGAGTTTGAGGCCAGCGTGGTCTAAAGAGCAAGATCCAGGATAGGCACCAAAATTACACAGAGAAACACTGTCTTGAAAAAAACAAAACAAAACAAAAAACCCTCATCTTCTTTCTCTTATAGAGCCATCACCCTTCCAAGGTCAAGTCTTTCTTCACATGCTTTAGTACCTGTATCCTTTCTTCCCTGGCTTGTCATTTCTTACCCATTAGGTACCATGTACTACTAGCCTGAAACAGTATTGAGCTCTTTCATGCAAATACATCCACAGCCCCCTTCCCACATAGGCTCTGCCATTCCTGTTTCTTATGGATAGCCTCTATCTTTACATCCTGTCCATACTTACCCCCAGTCTTGTCTGCCACTGGTTCCATGTTAAGTAGCTGCTTCCTCAGCTCTTCAAAAATGTCTTCTAGTTTTGGGGACAAATCCACACATTTCTTAATAGCATTTTCTTCCTTTCCCTGCTCACCCAAAGGTATGGTGTTGCTGTCATCATACAGAAGGAAATGTACTCCATCCACTGAGCACCGTCTTTCAAACCAGGGCTGTTCAGGTATGGTACGAGCTCTGACAAGGAAATTGCAACTAAGACTGTGTGTATCTGTGAGAGAAACATGCATGTGAGGTCCAAAGTGGAAGCAGAAGGCCACAGGATTCTAGGTATCTGTGATACCATCATTTTAGCTGGGCCATAGTAGTGCATGCCTTTAATCCCAGCACTCAGGACGCAGAACCAAGCAAATCTCTGAGTTTGAGGCTAGCCTGGTCTAAAGAGCAAGATCCAGGATAGGTGCCAAAATTACACAGAGAAACACTATCTGTGATACCTAGAATCCTTCTGATGGGCAAAAGGGCAGGAAGTAAAGCCTCTAGTCACAATGTCCACCTGTGGTGATATTTTGTGTATGCTCTAACAAATAAAGCTTGTCTGAAGATCAGAGGGCAAAGACAGCCACAGTGTTAGCCATAGAGGCTAGACAGTGGTGGCACACACCTTTAATCCTAGGACTCAGGAGGATAATTTAAGGCCATCCTGGGCTACATGAGATTAATTCAGTCTAAAAGAGAAACACAGCCAGGTGGTGATGGCTCATACCTTTAATCCCAGGACTTGGGATCTCATGCCTTTGCTGCCAGTACTTGGGAAGCAGACACCTTTAATCCCAGCACTAGGGAGGTTAAAACCAGAAGTGATGTGGCTGGGCAGAGGAAGGAATATAAGGCTGGAGGAGACAGGATAACAGAGGCATTCAGGCTGAGGTTTATGGAGAGGCATTTAGTCTGAGGATTCTTGGAGACAGGAACTCCCCCTTTCCATTGAGGAGTTGGTGACGTGAGAAATGGCTGTGGCTGGTTCCTTTGTCTTTCTGATTGTTTTTGTTTTGTTTTTGTTGTTGCTGTTTTCAAGACAGGGTTTCTCTGTGTAGTTTTGGTGCCTGTCTTGGATCTTACTCTATAGACCAGGATAGCCTTGAACTCACAGAGATCCACCTGCCTTCTGAGTGCTGGGATTAAAGGCATGTGCCACAGCTGCCCGGCTTCATTTTTCTTGCTGATCTTTCAACATTTACCCCATTTATTATAAAACCAATTAGGATCCATGCAATATCTGGTGCCCATCTTTTGGGACATGAATTCACAAGAAAGCTGCTGTCCTGTGGCTTTGCAGCCACCAGCACAGGACAGAAATACACAGGGCTCTCTGGAGTTAAAACCCCTCTGGCTAAGGAGTCAGCCAGAGTTTGACACTTTTGACATTCCCCTATGCAGACAGCTGGCTCTTTGGCTTCTTCTTTCCCGGTGGATTCTGGGCTTTCCCTGGACCCCCTCCTCAGGCTGCTGCCACACTAGGTAGCTGCCTCACTTTGCCATCATCTGAATCATCATTTGTCAGCAGATTTGGTGAGTCAATTGGGATTTCTTAAAGGGAGGAATTAGTTTTTAAAAAAAGACAGAGAGAGTTTTTCCCACATTAAGAAATAGGAAACACTATTACAATGAAGGTAGTTTGGTCTCTGATAATACACTAGACAGTTTGAAAATGGAACCATTAAATTAGAGGATAATTAACTTATATGGGATTTATGTAATGTCAATTATAAATATTATTTGTTTGATCATTTGTTTTATTAAAAACATTGGTTAATATGAGTGCCAAGATAAAAGTTTTAGAAAAACTTCTTAAAAACAGATCTTGGGATATTCATACCCAGACAGAACAATTTAAAAGAGAACCAATCTCAGCATTGCATTATAAGGTTATAGTGGAAAAGCCTAAGGTTTTCAAACAGCCAACTTTAATTTTTTTCAGTAACCTTACAGGAACTGTCAAATGACAGATATCCCCCAGATTGGGTAAGAGCTGAATGGACTCCTGTGCAAATGTTAAATATGACGAGATTCAAGGAAGAGATAGTATCATATGGCATGCATTCACCTTTTCTGAACCTGATGTTAAACTCATGGTCAACTTGTAATAGAATTATCCCTCAAGACTGGAGAGATTTGGTTACAGCAGTTTTGGAGGCTGGTCCCCAATTATAATGGAGGACCTGGTGGAAGGATAAGGCTAAAACCATTGAACAATGAAGTATGGCTAGAGATATTGAAATCTCCCAAGACAAACATCTTGGAAGGGGAGATTATGCTAATGTAGAAAGGCAATCATTATATGATGCCCAAACCCTGGCTTTATGCCCTGCAGCAGTCTTGAATGCCTGGGACAGAATTGAAGAAGTAGAAAAGAAAATTTAGTCATTTACTAAAGTTATACAGGGCCCAAAAGAAACCTTCACTGATTTCTTACAAAGATTGACTGCAGCAGTAAATAGAATGATACCAAATTCAGAAGCGAGACAAATAATAATTGAATCTCTGGCTTTTGAAAATGTTAATGCACAATGCAAAAGGATAATTAGGCTGTTAAAGACAAGATCAGCACTCTTGGGGGAATGGATATGAGACATAATCAATATTGAGCTATGGTGATGCTTGGATAGGAGAGTTGATTTCCAGAGGTTTGAAGAAAAATTGAAATGTCAAATATTTCAGTTGTGGTAAACAAGGTCACCTGAAAAGGTAATATAAACAGGGTGCTCCTAGAAACAATGTTTTTCAGGAATAATCCCAACAGAATGCCCTTCCCTTCTGGATTATGCAGAAGGTGTGCAAAGGCAGACTTTGGACTAACAAATGTAGATCAACAAGGGACCGACAAAGAAATCCTTTGCCTTTGCCATCAGGAAATGCCCTGATGGGGCCTCTCCCAGGCCCTCATATCAAATTCGGTTCAGTCATTTCCTGTCATCGTGGAAGAAACCCCTTCCCAGAGCAATTAAAGAACCTAATACCTATTGTAAAAAAAAAAAAAAAATACTGTTCTGGATGATAGAGAAGTTATAGAAGGAAGAACAAAAGAATTTCTGGAAACCATAAAGTGAATATTTCAACAAAGTTCTATAAATGAACAAAGACCAAAATTAAAAATACAAATAAATGACATTCTTATTGACGGTCTTGTAGACACAGGTGCAGATGTAACTATAATTGCACCAGAATATTGGCACCCATATTGTCTTCTTCAGGAGGTAAATGTTCAGTGTTTAGGGGTTGGAACATTATTGCAGTTAAAACAAACATGAGATAGGTGAAATGTGTATGGCCAGAAGGTGAAATGTGTATGGCCAGAAGGACAGAGAAGATAATTAAAGCCATATGTGACTAATGCAGTGAGGAATTTATGGGGATGTAATTTTTTTACAGCAATGGAATATCCAGATTAACATTCCACCAATCTCAGAAACAAACTGTAAACTAACATAAATTTCTGGGAAACATATTAAATGGTATTATACAGAACAGTCACTGACCATCTTGATTGTACAAGAACAGGACACAATAGCTGTTGATCTTTCAAAGACACCAACAGCCCTATCTTTAAAATGGTTAACAGACAAGCCTGTATGGGGTCAGCCATGGCTTTTAACATCAGAGAAACTGCAGGCCTTAGAACAACTGTTAGCTGTTAGCTTAGAACAGGAGCAGTTAAATGCTTAGCATATTGAAGAATCAACCAGCTTTTGAAATTCTCCTGTATTTGTTATTAAAAAGTAACCTAGAAAATGAAGATAACAGATCTAAGAGCTGTTAACAAGGTGATTCAGCCAATGGGCTCTCTACAATCTTGAATTCCTTTGCCTTCTCTGTTACCTAAAGGATGGCCTCTTATAGTTATATTGATCGAAAAGACTGTTTCCTTTACAAGAAGAAGAGAAAGAAAAATTTGCATTCACAGTACCTACTTAAATAATTCTCAACCTGTTAAGAAATAGCAATGGAAGGTTCTCACACAGGGAATGTTAAGTAGCCCTACCCTGTGCCAATATTTTTTACGACAGCCATTGGAAATAATACATATGCAATTTACTCAATCTATAGTTTACTATTACATGGACAACATCTTACTAGCTGATTCCAATGTGGATACTTTAGAAGTAATGTTTGAAGAAGCAAAGAAAATTTTGCCTTGTTGAGGATTACAAATTGCTCCTGAAAAAATACAAAGAGGAGATTCTGTTAATTATTTATGATATAAAATAGGTCTACCAAAATTAGTCCCCAAAAGGTACAAATTAGGAGAGATTGATTATGGACTCTTAATAACATTCAAGGATTGCTAGGAGACATTTCAAATCTATGGCCCACTATTGGGATAGAAAATCATGAACCAATTGATTTGTTTCCAAACTTAAATGGCGACAAGGACTTACATAGTCCAAGAGAAGTATCAGCTGAAGCTGAGAGCAAATAGGCTTTGGTGGAAAAAGAAATTACAGAATGCACATGTGAATTATGTGGGTCTAGAGCTCAACTGCATTCTGGTTATATTACCTTCTATGCATTCCCCTACAGGAGTTTTAATGCAGAGGGAAGATATTATATTGGACTAAACATTTCTACCACATAAATGAAGTAAGAAATTAAAGACATATGTGGAAAAGTTTTCTGGTTTGATTTTAAAAGGAAAATTAAGACTTCATCAATTAGCAAAAGTAGATCAAGCAGAAATTGTAGTACATTTTACTAATGATAAAATTGACAAATTATGGGCAGAAAGTGAACCTTGGCAAAGAGCTTGCAGTTTTTTTTGGGAGAGATTAACAACAAATATCCCAAAAGCAAAAGAATTCATTTTATAAAGAGAACTAACTGGATTCTTCTCATATTGTACAGGGAACACCAATTTCTGGAGCCTCTACATTTTATAGTGCTGCAAATAAATCAGGAAAGGCAGGTTATATATTAGGAAATTTAAGTAAAATGTATCAAAGTCCTTATGTTTTTGTCTAAAAGTCATAATAATATGCTATTTTGATGGTATTAATGGATTTTACAGAACATCTTAACATAGATATTGACTCTCAGTATGCAGAAAGAGCTGTTTTACACATTGATTCTGCTGAATTTATTCCTGATTAATCAAATTAGCTTTATTATTTATTCAGTTACAAGAAATAATCAGGAGTAGGAATCATCTTTTATACATAAAACACACATCCGATCCCATTTGAGTCTGCCAGGCCCTCTAACACAAGGTAATGA